TTAGTGGATATTATTGGTCCACTTGATTGATCTTTATTATTATTAATTAAGATCAATAAATAAATTATTAAGATTTATTTTTATTTTATGCATTTATTTTTTAACTTTCAAGTTATTACAAACAGAGCAGACATGACTGGGGGAAAAGAGAGGAAAAGATGAGAAGTTCAAGAAAAAGACATTAAAAAGTCGTCTGGAAGGAAAACAAGCAAAAACAGACGACAGCAGGTAAACAATAACAATAACAGTAAACAATAGATATCAAATGTTACTGAGCAGCAAACCTGACAATGCACAGTATGCTTAGAGGTAGCAGCTAAGGAACAGCGATACTTGTATAAACCGAAGCATCATAACAGCGTGTTTTGAGCCGTCTGCTGCGACCGGTTGGGCTGAGAGAAGGAAGACCGGATACTGTGGAAGAGACACAAACATTAAATATTCCAATATGTTATTCTGGGCTGAGAGAAGGAAAACAATGAATTCTTTATTTTATACACAAATTATTATAGTGCATTATAAATAAATAGACATCTGTAACAATTTTGCTCAAAGATTCATTAATATTGTTTTTCCTGTAAAACTTTGTTTATTTCCACCTGTTTGGGGCCCATAAATTTCAGTGTAATATTACTCAGCGGTAACCAGTGTTGTTACCATGATATTACTTGGCTATTAATTGGTTATTACTTTGGTAATTGAGTAGTAATAACTTAGAACCCTGTTATCCAACCCAAACACCTTTTCACAAACTGTAGGCCACTACAGGCCACTCTCCCAGTTTCCAAAAATGTTGGACAAACCTTTTAGCAATAGACCGGAAATAAATAAAAATAATAATAAATATGATTTAATTAACCAAAGTCAGTATGGATTCAGAGTAACGAGATCAACTTCACTGGCCAAACTTGAAACAATGGAAACAACAACAAATGCACTGGACCTAAAACAATCTGCAGCCTGACTATTGATTGATTTTAAGAAAGCATTTCATACAGTTAATCACTCAATACTATTAAATAAACTGCAGTTTTCTGTGATGAGGGGAACTGAGCACTGAGCTGGATCACAAGTTATTTATCTAGAAGACAACAGTTTGTGAAGCCAGGAGAAGGCCCCAGGTTATTTAATATATATATGTATTAATGACATGTTTAAGGTCTAAATGATCAAACTTTATATTATTTGATGATGATACTAATATATTTTTCTGGGGATACTTATGAGGAACTTATATTAATAATATAATTAATGAATTAAGACAGTTACATTGGATGACAGTAATAAATTATCACTAAATCTTAGTAAAACAAAAGCAATGGTGATAAATTCTTGATCGATACTTGATGATAAAATCAGACACGTCCAAAAGCAGCTCAGTCATGAACAAAATTAAACAGCTTCTAGATTATAATTGTCTCTGTGCACTGTATTCTTCTCTAATTCTTCTGTATCAACTTTGTTGGGGGCAAATAATTGTAAAAATACACAAAATTCTTTTCATATCACAAAAAAATGGCAGTTTGTATAATACACAAAGGGTATCTTCATCATACAAATTTCTGATTTCTACAGGCAAAATTATTAAAACTTCATGACTTGATTACAATCAAAGCTTGAAGTAATCTATTACAGTTCCATCCATCTATACATTTTCTTCCGCCTGTCCGGGGCCGGGTCGCGGGGGCAGCAGCCCAAGCAGAGCACGCCGATGGTTTGGAGGAAGTAATTATTGAAGTCAGAAAGATGGATTGGAGAAAAAGAGTC